GTCATTTTTTTTTTTTCAGGATTCTTTGATTAATAGAAAGATCAGCATTTCTGAAATAAAAAGCTTTTGTAACATTATTCACTATTCCATTCAGTATAATTTTTATTATTTTTTTGGGAAAGAAATTATAGAAATTAATACTTTTATTTAGCAAGGATGCTTAAAATAAAATAAAAAATCAAAAGTGATGATAAAGGCATTTATAATGTTACAAAAGATTTCTATTTCATATAAATAGTGTTCATATCGATATCGGAATTATATCGTATCGACCGAAATTAAGAAAATATATCGTGATATCAATTTTGGCCATATCGTCCAGCCCTACGACAGCTGTGGTTAAATGTAATAAAACGAGTGGACTGGACAGAAACAATCATCAAAAATGTTCGCGTTTGCAGTGCATAATATCAGGTAAGGTTAAATAAACTGTTGTCTTTTATGGATTATGGTTTGGTTACGAATCTAAAGATTTCTCATGCATGCCCACCTAATAAGAAATTGGGGAACAAGTTAACTAACGACCAGAGACTAAACATAAAGGAAACCGTTTGTGTCGTCTCACTTTCTACAATTGCCATAAGTGCAATTGTAGAGAGAGGGAACAGTGAAGGCCCATCTTATGTGTCAGGTGTGTGTTCTAGTTGCATTTGCTTACAATTGCCACTGTTAGTACATAGTTACATGCATCTAAAGATTTATATGCCCTCGGTTTCTATTTACTTTATCTGGTAGGTGTGTCAGGCCCCTCCTGTCAGATCGTCCATCCATTGAGTGAGTATGAACGAGTCGACAAATCTGGTTCCTTCCATTAAAGTTAACATTTTCAAATAACAATCGCAGTCCCGGACAGCGAGTGACATTACATATTCAAATAAAATCTAATTGTCTCCGGTCATTGTTAAAAAACAAGCAAACAAAACCTGCTAGCTAGCGTTCTGTTCACCAAGCCTGCATTTATTTGATCCAAAGCATGTGGGCAGTGCTGTGTCATATGCCATTGTTGTGCACAAGGTGTTTGTCACAGCTCCAGACTTATTTGTTCATTAATGACGTCATCAGCGACTAGTCGACTTCGACTCGACTTTCATCACATAAAAGTCGACATCAAAAAATCAGAAGTCATTCAACCCCTAATGCGAACACACTTGCCCGAAAAAGTGCGGGGGACGAACTTACGTGATATTAAAAGTGGGGGGGACATGTCCCCCGCGTAATCTACGCCCCTGGCTGTGTGATAAAACTGCACATTTTAGAGTGGCCTTTTATAGTGGCCAGCCTTAGGCACACCTGTGCAATAATCATGCTGTCTAATCAGCATCTTGATATGCCACACCTGTGAGGTGGATGGATTATCTCGGCAAAGGAGAAGTGCTCACTAACACAGATTTAGACAGATTTGTGATCTTAGATCTTTGTCTTAGTCTTAGATCTTTGAGTTCAGCTCATGAAAAATGGGGGCAAAAACAAAAGTGTTGCGTTCATAATTTTGTTCAGTGTAGTTTAGCACTACAAACTACTGCTGCTGCCATCAGTGCTGTTTCTATTCTAGTGCAGCAGAGACAGAAGAGGCTGTTGAACCTGCAGCAGATAAAAACAAACATCTGCTGAACATCAAACAGTGAACCGAAGACCCAACATAAGACAAAACAGAAGAGAAGCATCACAGAGCTCTTGATAACACCTGTTGTTCCACAAAGAGCTGCAAACTTGCTCAAAAAAGGAGGCTGAGTTGTAGGTGCTGACATAATTTGAGAATAAATAAATAAAAAATAAAGAAAGAATTAATAAATTAATTAATAAATACATAAATAAATTAAATGGACTGGGTCACTATAATTTCTATAATTAAATATGCTTGATTTCAGGTTTGATGTCTTTCATTCTTAAAGTTTTTACTATAGACAGTGGTATCTGAGCTCTGCAAGGCTGACATCTGAAACATTCATTCAGACAGGTCTCAAGAGAAGAAAATGAAAAGAAAGAAAAAACTAAGAGTGGGATGAAAGGAGGAGAGGAAAGGTGAGGTGAAGACCACAAATATAACAAAGCATGAAGAAGAAAGTCAATGGACAAACAAGAGACCTAATCTGCTAGACTATAGTATGGTTAAAATAAAAAGAGATGAAGACAGCAGAGGCATTCAGTAATAGTAAACCACACAAGCAGCACAGGATCCATCGTTGCATTGTAAATGGGCCGGTCTGAGGATGTTGGAACTTCTTCTCTTCAAGCAGCCCACTGGGAAAAGTCCCAGTGCTCTCTATAGCAAGTCCACTCTTAATAGTTTTATCACCACTATACTCAAGAAATGTATTTCCTTGCTAAGAAAGTGTGTGTGCAATTAGTATTTTACAGGGAAAATTAACTAAAATATATTACTGAATGGACAAAAAATCCCATCATTACAAGAAAGAATTGATTCGCAGAATGTCAAAAAGAGTCATTAATGGAAAAAGCACAGTCACATTTTTGTGTGCAGTCTGAAAATGACCAAATGGAAAAACAATCTTCAACATGAGATCTTAAATTTTGCCTTCTTACCTACTCCCTATTCTTATGAAACTGGGTCAGTATCAGACATAATCCTTCACATACAATTAGCAACAAGTTACTCCATTTTGTATAATATTTTGTGACTTAAGTGTCCACGTTCGAAACAGTCCAAAATGATCCTCTCCTGCTCTCTTTCTCATCTCTCAGCCCCCTCCCTCTGTTTTGGCTTTGTGACCCCAAATTCTGGCATGGTGACAGATATGCTGACATCACCACATGTTCACACCCATCCACATGCACACGCAATGCAATACAATCCAATCCCAGCACAGAGGGGAGGACAAACGATCTGAGTCTCGCTCGATAGGAAACTAAGGCCTGCCCCATTGTTCCCTATTGAGCAAAATCCCTTATCCACAAAAAACAATGGCAGGTATAAAACTAACAAACAAAAAATATCACATTGTGACAGATAACAAAAGGGAAACAATCGCCTTGCCGGATACTTGGGAGATGAGGATAGGCACGCAGGCAAGCTATTTTTGACCATGGATCTTCTGCAGCAGACTTGGGATCTTTAGGATTTGCATAAATTTAACAGTTTTCATATTTTGGCTGAATTATGAAAATAACTGTGGTAATAATGTATGCAGGCATTCAGAGATCATAAAAAAGAATGACATATATATAGTTCATTAATGAACTGTTTATATAACCTCCGGATTGTTTGGCTGCTGTCAAATAATGAAATTATAATTTATTATTGCACACATTAAAAATATTTATGACCATTAAATATGCATGAGCATGTCTGTGAAAAGTTAGATTCTGATCTGTTAAGAAAAGTCAGAACAGTTACATTTATAAACTTTAAAGCTTCTGTGTTTAATATTATTATTATTTGTTAAAACACTTAAAACACATGATTGTACATGAGCTTTTTAAAACCGAAAATTTGCGCGACAGCCTGACTTTCTATAACAAAGCAGAACTTAAAGGGAGGATACAGATTTTTTCCCTTGTCCCCTCAAACAGGAAACTGCTGCTAAAACTTCCCCCACTCCTTTCAGCAACTTCTAAATCCCGAAAAATCATTCTCACATTATGAATTTCAACACTAGGGCTTTAAAAAGAAATTTGAAGTGTGGGACCAGACAGACAGTAAATTACATAAGGAAGAGACGCCACAGCACTCTGACTCTTAACCTCTGACAGCCGTCTGAATGATGACAACGGCAAACACCTGCTCAGCTTTTTAAAACATATCCACAGCCTATTAGCTGTTATGCTGTGATAACAACCCGAATAATCACAAGGAGGATCAAAATCACTGGAGCAAAGTTGGCATCCAAAAAGGGTGTTTATTTCGAGCAGATGTGCAAAATGTGCAACTAAATATGTTTAAGCTTAAAGTACTTAAAACAGTACCAACTCCCCTCCACAACATTGAGGCTGGAGTTTTACATTCTTACACAGCACCACAATAATCTCGTTCACAAGCTCTTCCATCCACCTCTCCCTTACTACTAGTGACGGCCATCTTAAATACACATTTTTCCACTTCTTACTAATTTGAACATACCATGTTTTTATAAAATAAACTCTTGTCTCACAATATGATTTATACATGAGAATTAGGAACAAGAGTTAAGTAGATAAATACAGTTAATGCCATTAAAAAGAGAACGGATGAATCAAAACATATTTGCACAAACATTTCCATAAATTAGTTAAAATGAGCGCTTTTCCACAAGTTTTCACCTCTTATTGCCACACCCACTCAGCTAGATCAGGAAATACATAGGAGCAAACCCTGCCGTAAATATTACAATAATGAACCAAAAACAATAAAAACACAGTAAAAACAGTGATGGAAGACAACTTTAAGGTCTCTCTATCACAAATGTCATGGTACCTTGAGATGCTGGAGTTGTCTGCGGTCATCCTCAAGTTGTCTTCTTTTGTTCTCAATCTCAGCCTCTCTCTTTCTCTTCTCCTGAAAGACAAAATATTAAACTCTGTTAAAAGATACTGAACTTCCCACTTCACAAAATCAAATAACCTCTGTGCAAATCTCAAAACTGATTTAGTTAAAAGAAATGGTAAGAATCCATTATTATTGGATACTATTGACAATCTGTGTTGATTGTCAAAAGATATTATTATAGTTTTATTCATATTTATAATTGTTATATTTTCAATTAAATTTTAATTTTACTTAAAGTTTTAGTAATTTAGTTGTGTTTGTCATTTCTATTGTGTCTATACAGTTTTTATTAATTTTATTTCAGTTTTAGTTATTTTAGTACATAAAGTTAACCTAAATGAAAATGAGAAATATTCCCTCAGCAACTAGCTGAAATAAAATGTATATATATATACATAATTTTTTTTCAGTTAACATTTATTTTATTTCAAGTAACAAAAACTTTTTGGGGGGTTTAATTTTAGTAAACTACAATGTAATAACCTAATGTAAATGTATACAAATGTATTTGACTACATTTATTAAAATATGAACATTATATTTATTACATATTTAATAACCGGTGCGTTGAATTGTTCTGCTCATGCAACAGCTTACAGGAGAGAATTGAATAAAATCTGTATGAACAAATAACTAAAGTCAAGAGCCTTTTCTATTTCCACAGTAGCTTTAAATAACACCTTGGTATGGTAAATAACCATAGTGACAGTGACTGAAGTAAATATCAAAGATGCTGACTTCCATAACACCGGAAAGTTTTATCTCAATCGAAACATTAGTCAATAAACAAGTCCATTTGAGGTGCTAGTTCATCCGTAAAATCTTAATTAGGGTTGGGTACCGAACTTGGTACTTTTAAGGGTACCGACCGAATTGCGTCGGTACTACCGAGTACCGATTCACGTTAAATCAGTCGGTGCCAAATTTCGGTACCTGAGAACGCATCTGGGCGCATACGCTACAGAGAGAGAAAGAGAGACCCTGTGACGTGAGGTCACCCCTGCAACTCGTTCAAACAACACACAGGGCAAGCCGAAATGTTCTGAAGTGTGGTTACATTTCTAGGGCCATATGGTTTCTGCGAAAACGCGGACGGGATCAATCCATTCATAAAAACGTAAGCGCGGAATGCCACGGAATTCGTCAATTTTGGACGAATAAATCAAAAGTAGCCACTGCCACTTAATTCGAATCGCAATATGAACTAGTGTCTGTGAATATTAAAATGCAAAAAGACGGTTTAAATATGAATCCTGCATGTTCCGCTTGCCTCTGTATGTATGAATGGCGGAAACGCGGTTTTGTTTACTAAACAAATACTGAAGCACGTGTGACGCTC